CCCGCACTTCTATGCTTATAACATTCCCAAGCGGGCGTCCTGGGTATGACGATAAACTACATCTGCGTCCTGGGTAGGACGATGAACTACGTTCAACAGCAAAGCCTCTGATAATACGTTTTTCAAAAAATAATATTACCAGCTATAAGTTTTTGAAAAAAAAATATGACCAGCTATACATTTTTGTGGAAAAAATATTAACAGAAATAGATTTTTGATAAAACAAAAATATTACCAGAAAAAAAACAAAAAAAACAAAAAAAACATTTGTCGGCATTAAATGACCCATTGAGGTTAATATGCTGTAAAACAAACCAAACCAAACCAAATTCCCAAGCGGTCACCACCCTATATAATAAACAGTCTGGACGTTGCTTAACTTCAGTAATCAGATGACAACCTGTGATTCAACTTGACATGCTTGTAAGTTTTAGTTTAATACAATACATCATCGGACAATATTTTAGGAGTATTGTGCTCTAGTAATATTTTTAATGTCAAAAAACGAGCCTGACTTGAAAATCAGCATTCAAATTCTAACTTTGGCCTGAATACAATATGTGGATTAAAATTCTAGGACTTTAAAAAGACGTATCATTAATTTAATATGTTCCCGCATTTAACCAGTTTCCTTGTGGCTTTCGATTAAATGCTGATGCCCTCACTCACAGGATTTGTTTCTCTCTCATTCTCACTTTTGTCTGTGCAACGATTGCATTCTAAGAGAAATCTGAACGTCTAGTGGATTTCAGCTTCACTGCAGACATAAAGGGGAACACAGATATACCCATCTCTAAGGATGCTGAAAAATGGTCGGTAATTTTACCTGATTTCCCTCCCATCTTTTAGCTTTACAAGAATCAGATTAGACCAAAAATGAACTATTGTTCACATATCAGGGCCAGAGCTGCTCAATTCTCACTTTCCAACATTGAGTTAAAAGAAAGAAAACTTCATGCGGTCTTTTGGGGGAAGACGTATTTTTCTCTTTGCAGGCTTTTTTCAAACTGAGGCAAGATTGAAAATATATTTCTCACTCTCGATTTTTCCATGACAAAGGGCATACAGCCTTCTTCTTATCGAATCGCTACACTACACCCATCGTGTATTGTTTAATTTATTGTAATGTACTTGTCGTCTCTGATGATGGCTGATGTAAGCCGAAAGCTTAGATAGGATTAAAAATCATGTATCAATATGGTGATTTTCTTTCATCTTTCAATGATAATGTTATTAAGCTTATCAGACAATATGAAAGGAATTTTCTTAATATAAATACATAAAATTTGTCTATATTATTTAATGAAACATGCATTAATATATTAATACATATATAATTTAAATTTCCATCAGAAAAATTATAAAGGGACACACAAACATATATATATATATATATATATATATATATATATATTCAAACATGTTTCATTAAATAATATAAGCAAGTGTTGTTTATTTATTTAGTGGAAATTCATAACGTCTGATAAACTTAATAACATTATCATTAAACGAAGAAAGAAAATCACAATATTGATACATATTTTTTAATCCAATCTAAGCTTTCAGCTTACATAAGCCATTATCAAAGATGACAATTACAGTCCAATATATTAAGCAATACAGGGACAAGAAAGTGATGATAATCTGTTTCTGTTTACATGGATGATTTCCAAGCAACTATAAATTCGTGCATATAAGACGCTGGAAGCAAAAATCGCACCGCAGCTCATGATGTAATTTCCTCCAGTTGGTCTGGGGTAGTTATATCCTTTAGTTTGTCGTAGATGTCCTGTTTGTTGCTGTTAAGGGTGTTCAATTTTTCCTTGGCTGTTTCAATTTACCTTTTCACAAGGCTACATTTATAATTCCAAGTATTGATAGTATTGTGAGATGCTGGATCATGTAATTTAAATTGTGTGTATCTAGGCAGCATTTTTTCATTCATACATGTTTCATTAGATAATAAAGACAAGGGCTGTCTATTTATTTTATGTAAATTCTTTTCACATAAGCCATTATGTAAGCCGAAAGCTTAGATTGAATTAAAAAATATGTATCAATATTGTAATTTTCTTTCTTCGTTTAATTATAATGTTATTAAGCTTATCAGACGTTATGAAAAGAATTTAGACACATACACATACACACACACCGGCGCGCGCACACACACACACACACACACATATATCATTTAATAGGTTTTCCATAAAAAATGATTAAGAAATACCCAACCACAGTCGAACAGAAGAAGAAAATTAATTTAATTATCTAATATAAAACATTTAAACAGCTAACTTCGTCGTCAACAATAACGAATCACCTGAAAGATCGAATTTACATTTAGGACCGATATTATACATGAATTTACATGACCCTTAAGGAACTGTGTTCTTGATAAAAACAATTTTGTTGAATAATTACATTGGATATATATACTACTACATGCTTATCAAGAAGATTCACATTAGATCTCTCAGACTATAGCTCAAGTAGCCTCCATTTAAAAGGAAATCTACCAAAGACTCTCCGCAACATGATTGTAGAACAGGCGAATGTAACAGCTTCAACAACATGTAAGAACGGCTAAAATAATGGAAACATTAATAATAAAAAAGAAATAGCCGACACCCAGTAATATCAACTATGTACATGGCCACAATGTGCTGACCGTGTTTGAAAAACAAAAAACAAAAACAAATTCCCATCACAATAGCTACACATATACAAATATATATGTATAAATTAAATTAAAAAAAAAAAGACAAAAAATATAAAACTTGATAAGAGCTAATAGAATAGACGAAGGTGCTCGGATATATGGAAATTTATGCATTTTTTATAAAGCTTATCTCAAAAAGAAACCATTTGTGAGAATGCAAGAAAAGCTGAATAAAATGCTTAATAGCATCGCAGTACTTTTAATGAAACTAGTATAAAAGAAAAATTGCTGCTCAAATACAAACAGATACGCGCACACACACACACATATATATATATATGTATGTATACAGTGGAACCTCAATTTAACGGACAAATAGGGGAAATCGTCCGTTAAAGCCGTTGTCCGTTAACTTGAAGCACTTTCTTTCGTGACCTGAAAACAGCCAACAGTACAAAATTACTGTAAATAAATGTAAATACAAGATATATTTATGTGTATTTTATTTTTAAGTTACTATATAGCATTAAATAAAGTTTGAAAGGTTATAAATTTACATCAGGAGTGTGTGTGTCTGTATATATATATATATATATATATATATATATATATATATATATACATACACATATATATATATATATATGTGTGTGTGTGTGTGTGGTGGATTGTATTTAGGCAACAATCCTTTTTTCCTTCTCATTTATGGAGACCTAACGGACACTATTCGTGACATACTTGTTGATAATACAAATATAATAGCATCATCTACACACAAAAAAAGCTAAAAGTAATGGAAGCCTTATTAATAAAAAAAAAAAAAACATACTCAATAACATCAACTATGAACATGGACACAATATCTTGACCGTAATTTGAAAGTGGAAACATTATATAAATACATATATGCGACAAAGTATGTCTTATTTAAATGTTAAAATATTTAATCCTTGAAAATGGTTAAATATATAACCGAAAGCTCTCGGAAAAAAGAACATTCAGACAGTTTTTATATAATTTAACATATGAAAAGAAAAAAAATATTAGATCACATGAGAAACAGTATAAAAAACTAAATAAAAGCATCTTTTCTGTCGTATTCAACGAAATGAGTGTATATATATATATATATATATATATATATATATATATATATCACATTGAATACTGGTGTGTTAATAAAATAGTGCTCGATATAAAATACCAGAAGAAATATTAAATATTATTAATAAATATACATTTTTCCCTCAGGCGTAGGACGACCCTGAGTTTAATGTACAACGCAATCATCAGGTGCTGCAATAAAACTGACCTTTCCATAATTTAAACGTTGTTATATATCGGACTATAGTGAAACAATCCATATAATTTACGAAGATTGTTAAAATATATATATTTATTTAAAATCGTGACGTCACGAGCTGCGATGCGATTTTCGCTTCCGCGTCTCGTATACACGAGTTTGTCGATGCTTTGAAATTTTTCATGCAACAAAAACAGACTATCGTTATTGTTTCGTCCGTGTATTGTTTCATATATTGAAATGTAATTGTCATCTTTGATAATGGCTTATGTAAGCCGAAAGATTAGATAGGTTTAAAACATGTATCAATATGGTGATTTCCTGTCGTCTTTCAATAATAATGTTATTAAACTTATCAGACAATATGAAAGGAACTGACTTAAAATAAATAGACAAATCTTGTCCATATTATTTAATGAAACATGCATCAATTTAAAGTAAACATGTATAAATTAAAGAAATCCTCAGACAGATTTATTGTGAAAGTATAAGAAAAATGGGAAACATTATTAAGCAGGGAGAACAATAGAAGAGTAAGCAAAAAGATGACGACTGACATTGCATTTAAAGCTTTGAAGATCAAACTTAGCTGGAAAGTATGAAGCCAGTAGAGAGTTTCACAAGCGAAAATTGTGAGAAAAGTAACTGCTAGCATAGATCTTATGGATACATCTAACTAATTCAACTGGGAATTTATGAGACATTGGCGCCAATCTAGTACTGCACTTGAATTAATAAATCTAGGTACCAAAGGGGAATATAATCTGAACAGTTTCCATCTAAATATTTTTAGAAAAGGCGCATTTAGGCGGTGGGAAAGTGACAGAAGGTGAAACGCCAGGATAGGACCAATAGCATTGCTGATTCTTCTTTCGATTTGATGAAGAATACCTAAATACACAGTCGGAGCATCGGGCCATATATAGCAGAAATATTCAAGTCATGGACGAATTTACAGAAACGCCGCATCTTCCTTAATCATTTCTACGCAGGCTATGCAAACACCAACGGTAATATAAACATTCATGAAATATAGATTCATAGATAGACAGACACATATGAAAAGGCTGTGATAGATATAAATAAGATGAGATAAATAGAAAGAAAGACAGAGAGGAAGAGGGAGAGAGTGAGTGAGTGAAATGTGAATAGACAGATAGATATGAATAGGATGAGATAGATAGGTATGAGTAGGCTGAGGTAGAAATATTGGAATAGGCTGAGATAGATAGGTAGATAGATAGATAGATAGATAGATAGACAGACAGTTATGAATAGACATAGATAGATAGATAGATAGATAGATAGATAGATAGATATGTATGCATGCATGTATAAGCTGAGATAAATAAATAAATAATAGGACTTATAAATATGTAAGATAGATTCTGGAGAAAAAATGTCTACCACGACAGAATGAACCAACTTTCTTATCAGCAGATCTAGCAATGGATTCAATATAATCTTTCTACTTTATGCCAGCCGACAATGTTTGCCCGAGAAGTCGCGCCGAGTCATTCTTCTGGAAGTTAGCCTCAGCCATGCTGATTGGAGGTTGGAGGTCATTTCTAAGGTGAGTAATAGGGAAATTTTGTTTTATTTTTGGAGACATTAAAATTAAGATAACATTCATTGTTCCAGTTAACAAGAGACTTTAGGTCGTTTATTTTAGACCAATTGCCAATTTTAATTATCGATCTGATCAGAATTACTATCGATAAAGAAGTAATTGGTTTTGTCATCAGTATTCATACCAATTTGAGAACTGATTTCCTCAGCAACGTCATTGATTTAAATTAAGTACGTTCAAGAATAGAGCCTTGAGGACACGTTTGAGGATTCGTACAAAAAGATTTAGAAGAGTGGCCATTCGGGACAACCTTCATTTCGCAATTTCATAGCTATCAATATTTATCAACCTCCAGTTAAAAAACATTTCTCTTTACCTCTTTCTTTCTATCTAGCATGTAGAGAGAGGAGGTTATATTTTTTTAGATCATTAACACTCTGTATTCTAATCGCTACACACGCGTCAACCTCTGTTTTCTCTCTCTCGGTCTCTCTCGCTTTTCTCTCTTTCACGCATTTTTTTTTTATCATTGAAGGTTTCTACCGCGTTTTATATTTTAGAGTATCATTTCTTCCTGTAAATATAGTTTATGGTGGGCTACTTTTGATGAATATTTTTCCACATTGCATTTCTTCTAAGTTATCGTTACGGGCCGATAACAGTTTTTGATCAACACACTCTACTGTTTCAGACCGAATTTCCTTTCCCTGAATTGGGGACTGTTATTTACTTCTACAGCATGAAAATCGGGCAAATCAGAATTGCATGGCCGACAATCGTTTGAAAAGACTCTTAATGTCTTTTCTCAAATAGGATATCTCTTTGCTTCAGGTATTTTCCCACACAGTGACAGATTAAATTGACTGTTTACACTGAAAAGATACTCACTAGAAAAAGAAAAAAAAGTGTGGGTGAAATGTCAGTATTTGCGTATAAATCTGTGTTTTAGAAATTAATTCAACTATGTCACATTCAATTGTGAAATAGTGTAATCATAGAGCTCAAATGTCAACAGAAATGCGGTTTTACATAAGGGTGCTGAGAATATATGATCGTGAGAGCAACGATGAAATTTTAGGGAAAATGCAAAAAAGAGATAATACATAGAATCAGAAAAAAAGACACTTGAAATCCTTAGGGAACATGAAGAAAAGAAGGTTTCGAAAAACTGACACTCACAGGATATAGTGACAGAGAAAGAGTATAAACAAGCTAAAGAGGTTGGAAGAACAGTGATTAGGAGAGACAGTAAAGGAACTATAAAGAAGAAGAAGAAGAAGAAGAAGAAGAAGAAGAAGAAGAAGAAGAAGAAGAAGAAGAAGAAAGTTTTACAATGGCGTTTGGGCCAATACGTTCACAAACCTCTAAAAATGAGGTGATTGAGTAATTCCTACCAGTTTGGGGTTCGAATTTACAGAAACGCCGCATTGGGAATGCAGGCATTTTTCTACGCGAGAGCTGGCGCATTAAAATCTTCCTTAACCATTTCTACGCAGGCTATGCATACACCAACGGTAATATAAACATTCATGAAATATAGATTCATAGATAGACAGACAAATATGAAAAGGCTGTGATAGATATAAATAAGATGAGATAAATAGAAAGAAAGACAGAGAGGAAGAGGGAGAGAGTGAGTGAGTGAAATGTGAATAGACTGAGATAGATATGAATAGGATGAGATAGATAGATAGGTATGAGT